AGTCTCATATATGAGCTATCATCCCTCTGTTTTTAGATAAGAATAAAACAAAAACTATCCAGTATCAAAGCCTTATTTCACTCCAGGGTGATAGCAGGACACCCCATCTAATCACTCAGAGAGAATCTGGACAATCTGAAGTACAGTTTCAAAATAAAAGACCTCTGAAGTCTCATATATGAGCTATCATCCCTCTGTTTTTAGATAAGAATAAAACAAAAACTATCCAGTATCAAAGCCTTATTTCACTCCAGGGTGATAGCAGGACACCCCATCTAATCACTCAGAGAGAATCTGGACAATCTGATGTACAGTTTCAAAATAAAAGACCTTTGAAGTCTCATATATGAGCTATCGTCCTTCTGTTTGTATCCAACAGTTCAAATGTTCGAATTACATTGAACCAGAATTGTCCCCCTTTTTTCTTTAACAGTGAAGAAAAGTGGATATGTTAATGATATATTGACCGCAAAACTCAAAATGTCCCCGGTTTTAATTTTGAAAATCTGGTCACCTTAAGCTGGGACAATTTGGAATACAACTAATGAATGAACACTTTATCTGCTTTATCAAGATGTAGACTTTTTAAATAATGTTTTAATGCTTTGAACACTACGAATGACTTTCATTCACCTCCATATTATTGGTCAGGAGGCAGACATCTCAAATAGTCATTTCAAAACTAAATCTGCCGGTGAAAATATGTATTTGTGGACACATTTAATTAAGAAAACAAAACTGTACCATGTTTATTTTGAGTCCCCAATACACAATTTTGCCCCTGTAAATACTGACTTGAGAAACCATTGCATATGAATCTGCAGCTGGAAATAGTCCTCAACAAATTAAAAGCTAAAGCTAACAGGATCAGCTGTTTTAGGAAAATACTCTTCATTTAAGAAGAAAATAAACTACTACTCATTGTTTTAGATCTAAGTACTGAGGATTCAGTAGTAGTCACAGACATGAACATCAGAGAGAAGTGTGTGACCTTCAAACAAAGGCAAACATTTTGAGTGAAGGACATAAAATGATCTCTCAAGGACAACTGCTTCAACTCGGTCGCTGCCGATGGCAATTAAGATAGCAAAAAACAAACTCACACCTGTTTCTCTTTCTGGTATACTGCATGGATTTGAAGGTAAAAAAATGATGGGTATTTCAAGATTTAACCCTTCAGCGTTTAAAGCCTCTCACTGGGCCTGGAGCATTATCATGAGGGGAAAAAAGAAAGCGTTCTGCTCCTTTAAGCGATCATGTGGAGTGGGCTTTTTGAAATGGATTCCCAGTGACATGGAAAATGTCCTTTCCTAATCGCCTTTTGTCTAGTTCATTTAAATCACATGGAAACAGGAGAGAGGGCCTTCTGGCCGTCAGGGGGCTACCTTTACTGGGTGAGGTGGTCAGCTCTAAAAGGAGGGGGGGGGGGTCTCTGCATTCAGGGGATGAAAGCAGGGTCCAAAGGTCTGACCAGCCAAAAGCCCCCTGCAGCCCAAGCCAAATCGGCACAGAAAATGTCCCCAGTCAGCAGCTGAGTATTATCTCTGAATTGTGCCAATGCCTGCCAACCCTACTGACCCCGACTCAAAATCCCCCGCCACACCCCCCCGGTCCCAGTGCTGTGACAGAAAGGACTGAAACTATGTCAGACTAGCTGCTCGTCACTACTGCGTCCACGTCCCCGTCCCCCCACACACACACACACACACACACAAACAAAGACACCGCCCTCGCTGGACTGCTGTTAAAGCGTCGGTTTATCCAAATGCAAAAAATATATAAAAATTTAAAAAATAATGAATATGTATAATAAGTATAATGCTATGCAGATATCACCACCACTATAGCACTTCACAGATATCCCATAAAAAAATAAATTAAAGTCATTTGGTTGGTCATTGTTGCTTTTTCCTGACATTTTACAGACTAAATTCATCAAAAAGCATAATAAAGAAACGGCAAGCGATTACATAATTAAAATAGTAATTAGATATGTTGTTTATTATCCCACTATGGTAATGCAAACATTTAATTCCGCCTGTTTTGTAAAGCGGACTGCGTTTAAACAATTCTCTGGCAGCAACAGAGAGTTTCCTGCAATAGAGCCATCGTCGGCACATTTTAAATCCTAAATCCTCCGCTCTGGATGTAGGTGGGAAAAATGTGAAGTTATGTAATAAGTTATTGATTTTCCTCTTAAGGAAGATTGAAGTACAGAGCCGGAGGTCTGAAGCCTCCCAGAGGAGCAGCTCCACTGCAGGGCCCTCAGACCCGGGGCCCCGTCACATATCACTTTCACCCTGATGCCACAGGGACACAACACAGAACACCAAAGACCTTGTCTCCTGACATGGAGCTCGGTTGTCTGATCACATCCCTCTCTCTAGTCAGCAGGCAGCAAAGACTTCTGTGGCACAGTTTGGATAGCTAAAAAGTGCAAAAGCTTAGAATTGCAAAAGGTATGGATGCAAGGATCGATGGAGATGTCTGAACCTGTTAGTGCAAGTGGAGATGAGGGCACTGCACTGTGGGGGGGGGGGGCTCTTTTGTCATGCAGGGAGAGGGGGCCGGAGAGGTGACTCTTCAGACGATCAGGGGTCAACTGCTGCGATCATCCATCTTCCGTCCTGACAGTGTCCTGTCAGCCGGCGCTCATGTTGCTAAACATAACAGGCAGGCCTCCATTGTGGCGCTGGGCTGCAGCCATGTGTAAATGAAGTTAATATTCACTGAGCTTATGCATGGCCACATACGGACCCCTGCGTCACCTTGGAAATAACGCTATCTGACTCAAAGTGGCAGGGGTCTCCCTGAAAGAACCTCTGAGCTGACCACGTGTCTTTGTGTGTTTGAGAATGACTGTTTGCTTGGATTCTGTCTATTCATGTGAGGCAGCGTAGGGACAGTTTGACGGGCAGGTCAGATTCCAAGACCTGGATACTGCTGAGTCCCTCCCCTGTTCTTGGAAACCGCCTTAAATAATGGTCGGTGGGAATTTGTCTAAAATTCCACCCTGTATTTTAAGAGAAATAACAGCACACACACACACAAATACACACACACACACACACACACACACACACACACACACACACACACACACACACACACACACACACACACACCACACACACACACACACACACACACACACACACACACACACACACACACACACACACACACACACACACACACACACACACACACACACACACACACACACACACACACACACACACAGGAACAACTGAAATGTTGGCTTTAATTAAATGTATTTTATCAATTTCACATAACTGTATTAGGTTAGTTGAAAGCAATAATAGGAAGTTGAACCTAATATTTCTTATTTAAACTTAATATTATTTATTTCAACTTACCTAATACAGTTAGAGAATCTGTTGACATGATTCATGTAATTAAAGTCAACGTTTCAGTTTCTTCAGTGCATACTCCTGGAATCAGCCCAAGTTACTCTACGCAGCAGTATTAGTATCTATATATATTTAAATCCAGAGTAAACAGTTGAACAAACCATTGTCATTGTCTCCTTGCTTTTGTTTCACCATTTGACCTGCTGCAGTGAATGTAACTGAGAGACAAATATTTACCAAGCCAAACGACTTTTTGAATGAGCCTCCCGGTGAAAGTTTTTTGTAAAATGATCCATTTGTATTTAATTTGACATGTTGACAGGGACACCTGGTCTCTGCTGGAACCAGAACAAGCATCTGTATCCCCGGAAACAACCTCTTCTTGCTTTTAATTCACATTTTGAAGTGTATATCTAAAAAAGGGCAGTGGATATGGAAGTACAAATAAATAAATACAGCTTGCCAAATCACGATTTCAAGCTGCCTTTGAGGCAGTTGGTGCAGGAAGAAAATGAATAATAAAAAAAGATATACACTGTACTGAGCACTGAAACCAAAGATGTGGATATTTGTTATAAACCTCATAATTCTGAACATCCAACTATTACTCAGATACCTCCTTAGAGTTCAAAACATATTTTCTTTTCAAATGGGAACATGTTAGGTTGTTAATGCTACGATGCATTAAAAGATGGTTATGAACATTTGCGATGGGCCTCACTATTTGCAAACTTAACAATTCATTGATTTATCAATACAGCATAAAGAACTAATGATGTTAAAACACTTTTTTTTATCGCAAGATTGTTTCAAATGTTGGTTTTGTCTGAGCAACAGTCCAAAAAACTAAAACATATTCCATTAACAATAAAATAAAACAGAAAAACGCGCAAATACTCATATCTAAGAAAGTTGATCCAGAGATTATTGCTATTTTACGTAATATATTACTTAAATGAATGTAATGTCCTCCCCAGGGTTTTGTCTAAACCAGATAACAGGCATCACATTTTGAAGTGATGCCAGGAAACAACATTCCTGTTTATGTCAAAAATTGTATAAATATTTAAAAAATATGAAAATCATGTCATGTCAGACGGCAAAGACAGCTTTGTTTTACGGAGAATAAAGCCCTGGGCATTGGGAGGATGCTGCTCTTCACAGGAAGCATACTGAGGGGATGAGCTCCCATCCATCAACAATTTATTTCAATCCTGAGTGGTTGAGGTCCGTTTGGGTCTCTTGTGGATTCGGCTCACACCTGTCATTTGCATAATTAAGCTCTGGAGCAGTTGTAAAAGGCATTTGGTGTATTAAATTCACACCTTATCAATCAGACGAGCTTCAAGATGTACGGAACCTCCTGTCTCCTGGCTTCCTGGCTTTATTTGAAATGCTAAGTGCAGTTTTTTCTCCAGGCTGGGAGCTGGGCCGGACTGCCTGGTGGCTCCTTACACGTTAGCTGCCGTGGTCGGAACCCAACAGCTCTGCTCCCCGGGGGCTAAATCATCAATCAGTCTCCGGCTAACTTCTGTCCGACTCACTGACAGTCAAGATGGATGGTTCCAGCGTCTAGAGGATGCTGTATCCTCTCATTAATTATCTTGTGAGCATGCACAGATAGCAGTGCGATAGAGTTTTTCACCACACAGAGTCACGGAGCCCTCTCCCTTTTTTAGTCCAGGGTCAACAGTTAATCATTTCTCAGCCACTCGTTATTTAGTACCACAATGATGTGATGTGTCAAAATCGGACAACATACATTCCCCGGGACTGAGCCAAACAAAGACGCCTATGTCCTCCCACAAGGGCCCTCTCTCTGTCCAACGACTCCGTGGCTCCATCTCAACCAGCAGCCAGAGCCGAACAAGACCAGCGAATGAATGGGGGCTATTTTCACAACATGCAAAATGAAGCCAACGCAGGCTGCGCCGACACTTCAACTGGCCTTTTTCAGCACCCATTACACTGAAACCAGTGAAGGCAGCAGGCGGAGAAGAAGAGTGACATTTACACCCAGAGATTGCCACACAAAGAGTTAAAGAGAGACAGAGGGAGGGGGGCGTCGGAGTGAAAGACAAGGGGTCCCTCTTCGCTGACGGTGATGAATGAGTGGATCACAACACGTTTCAGAGGAGGCCTATGCACCCACAGAGGGGGCTCCTCAGATGACATGACTGACAGCTCAACTTGCTGTCTCCACCTGCACCCGCCCCCCGGCTGAATAACTTACAGCGGCCATGTTGTAATGATAGTCTGCAGCAGACACTGCATTACGCATCAGCATGTTAGTGTGCGAGTCATGTCACTCAACAGGGTCTTAAACACTCTGCTGCCACGCCCACACAAATCTTAACAGAAAAAAATTACTTGTTTTGGTGGCTAGTTAATAGTCTCAAAGATGGACTCAGAACCACCATTACTTTTTTCCAATCCTGAAACCCACAGACTGAAATGTATACCAATGAATGCATCAAATGTCGATTGGTGAGATGACGATGTTGTTCTTTGTATATTGCTTATAGAATTATTTTCAGCGCATCTATCAGTACAAATAAAACAACTAAAATGTTGCTCTGTTATCCAAATGTATAAATGTAATTTCCCTGGTCCAGTTCGCCCATTTAAAAACAGGTCTAAACACTTGAGCCTGTTTTTAATGTGTGAGTAATGGTGTGTCCTTGTGCTGAATGAGTTTGTATTAGCTCGATTTTTATTGAATTTGTATCGTATTCATTCATCGTTTTTTTACCTTTGAAAGTGTCTTTAAGCACCTGATAAAGAGCATGACTCATGACCTAACGTTTATTATTGTTTATATATTTTCAGACCACACTTTGTACAAACGAATGCGTTACAATCATACTGAACCCTTTATACTTAAGGCACCATTATAGAGATGTTCTTTTACACCGCTAAGACAAGCTATTCCGAGGTCCAAATGCCAGTACTTCACATCTGTAACGGTCACAGCCACTTGGACTTATCGCTCTGCTCTTCAGCTGATAGAAATACTTAGGTGGTGTTCAGGGAAATTACTGAATGGACAAGTTCATGTCAGTGGAGCTGCTGGAAGAAGTGCTGATGGTGCACCGTGATTCTCATTTTATTTAGATGAACTACCCCTTAATACAAAGGCTTCTCATGGCTCAGTGGAGATAAAGCTTATAGGTGCAGTGTCAAGACTCCAGTTTGATCCATATACACATTAAGGAGCCTTCTTCCTCAGATTTTACACAACCTGAGGGTAGGGTTATCGCACTGCTGTCTATGTCTATATATTTGTATTAGTTGACACATGAACAGATTCATTAATAGAGACTTAGAACAGTCTGTTCTGAGGGGTCAGCAAGATATGATGTGGAAAGAAATCTAAAATGACTTTGAAAAGCCGGAGCTGTTGGTTGTTATGCCGCATCGCTCTCCCTGTGGAAATAAAACGTGGGCTTTCTTTCCAAAGGAAACAACTGGATCTTACATCTATGCATATTAAAACAACAAGAACAATAAAAAGGAGCTCCGATAGCCTGCTAACATTAGAGACACAGCACAACTTGAGGCTGGCGATGCTGCTCTAAATTACATGGCCTAATATATTTCAACACCCCACCCTCAGAATGTCACCCTAATGGATGACAGAGTGGCATGAAAGCATGTCTGCCAGAGGCACTAATTTGTTCTTAGACACATTCCATTCAATTGTTACTGGCTGCTACTCCTCATAAGCTGCTTAGATTGAGGTTGCCCCCCAAAAAAGGATTGGCTGACAAGGCAGGCCACTTAAATTGTGTGACCTAAATCACTCCTTCTAATCCATAGTGATTTTTATCTTTCAAGTCAGGTGCCCACCGAAAATAATCCTCTGAGCATTCACTGTGACAGAACGCACTTTATTGTTAATTGTAGCAGCAGGACAGCACTACAACAAGGCGAGCGGAGCTGTGTTTGCCCTTCCTGTTAGGCTCCTTCATAAATACCCTGAGGCCTGAATTCCACAGTACCACGGCTATTTGTTTTCCCTCTCTGTCAGGGTCATTTGACCAGATTAGGAAGATATTGAAAATCTGGCTGGACTTCCTCTAGACCTGTGTATCTGCTCCAGATTGTCTTGGCTCATTGCCAGAAGGAAAGGAGCTCAAGGGCTAAACTAAATGTATTATTTATTCTCAGTCTAAACAGAATCATAGATATAAAGAGAGTGGTAATCAATTAATACAGACTTTAATTATTTGTGTATTCGGCCTTAATCATTTATTTATATATTACTGCTGTTAAGTATACTGCTTTTATCCCATTTGCCAACATTGGTTAGCGGCCGGTAATGCCTAAATTGTCCTTTACCTCCTTTGCATAATCAAATCACAATATATCCGTTTCTTTTTTTTTTCTCGGTACACCTTTTGCGGTGTAATCCAGGATGCCCCTCGCGGATTTCAAAAGAATACGTTAGAAAGGAGCAACTCTGTGAATGCTAATGAGTCATTCAAATATGTTTTAAGGTACTCACGTTCACATGCGTCTCCTTTCTGATGAAATCCAGCTTTGCATATACATTTCCCAATTGGAACGAGCCATTCCCCTTCAGCGCTGCAGTGCATCTTGGGAGAGTTGTCGGCCTCCTCCTCAGCATCATTTACACAAATGCCCTCCACTTCCACCAGCGAGGAGAACTCCGACCCCGTCACGGTGTCCGGGAACGTGGCCAGGTTCTCGATGATAGACCAACACTTCTTGTAATAGACTTTGACAGACACCAGGGCGATGCACGCCCCTACATCCTGGAAGGCCAGGTAAAACCCCCGCCTGGACAGGGGGCCAATTATGCGCACTTCTGTATTCAGCTTCATCTTCCTCTCGCCCAGGTCACCCTGGGTAAAGCTTTCATCTGCGGCGATTGTGTCAATTTTCACATACTGGTTCTCCCGCAGGCTCCTGCCCACCTCCGAGTCTGTTTCCTGGTAATACAGGTTGAATGTCTCCTTGCACGTGCCCACCACCCCGGGTAGGCTGTTACAATCCCTCAAGGTGAACTTCAGTTCCACAAAAATTCTCTGGGCAGTGCCCTTCTCTATCCAGTTAGTCCGAAGCCAGTTATTCTGATTGGGCTCCATGACCTTGCAAACCTGGTATGTGCGAATGGGAGTGTAGTTCTCATCGAGGCCACTGATCTCTTCCCACTGAAACAAGAACACATGTGGAAGTGAGCACCTCCAATAGAGACCAACACAGTTTAAAAGCAATAACACTGAGATGGACATCAAATTATTGGCAATGAATCTGGAGATGATGCCTCATTAGAGAATACGACAAAGGTACAAAAAATACATTTCAGAGATAAGTTTTTGCATTTATATCAACACAGCTTTAAAAACTGATTATGCTCAGTTTATGTTCTTCTGCTCACATTATTTATTTAAAGTTTCTCACAGCCTGCTTTTCATCAGACTGCAGCTTGGAAGCGGGTTGCTTAAGGCCTTTGTGCTCAGAATGTCAAAACCCTGTAGAGTTTAGTGACAAAAAGAGCCTCCTGAATTCTGCAAAGACTTCAGCTAGCACTGAGCCTTATGTATGTTTCATGCCCGGTCTAAATATTATTATTCCTATCACAGATGTGGGACATCAGAGAGAGCTGTAACATAGATATGGAGCACATCCGCGCGATGGAGAATTTTAACAGACTTACCCCATTGGGAGGATAGGAGATCCACTCCAGTTCTGTCTGCTGTGCCTTGGAGTCCAGCAGAGTCACTAGTGACAGGAAACCAGAGGCAGGTGGTTAAATCTCACAGGGGACAGGTATTACTGACCAGCCACACATCCATATCCATAGCGCAGTTAGCCGTGACCTTATTCCAAGCAACTAAAGCTAAAAGATTAATATGCATTAGACACAGGGCCGTACCTCCCTACAGGAAGATCACGCAGACTGCGTAGGGGGCCTCATCTTGCGGAGGTATCCTCAACTGAGCCGCAAATGCGGCGCACCTGCGTGTATGCGGCGCAATTACTGTGGCGCGGTACGGTGTCGCCGCTGCGAGGCTCCACTACCACCCCGTCGACGCTCGCGAAACATTGGGCCTCATCATCTAACTTTGCGTGGGGCCTCAAGTTGGCCAGGGACGGTCCTGAGACACTGCAGGGAACTTTCTGAGACAGACGGAGAAACTGACATGTGCATTTACAAGAAATAGAGACTAAAAGCAGAGGTGCATGTTGGCACATACGGAATAATAACGCGTATGATCATAGCGAGTTTATTCGAACAATATGCGTTTATTGTGCGTTTATGAAAACTCGCTTTTTCATTGGAAGTTGTTCCATTAAGGTCAAAGCGGCTGCTGCTGTCATTCCGATGGAGAGCTTAAACTCAGGAGTGTTTCAGTTTAAATCGGCCTTAAAACAGTTCCACAGAACATGCGGCTTGTGTGCAGTTTAAATCTGTGGAGGAGATATTTTTTTCCAATCAGCCTGTTTATGTTCCGCGTGAGAGAGCGCAAAGCGGCGGAACGGAGGCTCAGAAAAACCTGAAGTTGTTTAAATGAGTAGAAAGCTTCACCATGAGAGCAGTCAGGATGCATCGCTGTGAAAAATAACATTATTATTTCTTACCTTTATTTTTGTATTATGTGTGTACCTTTTTTTGCAAGGAGCTCCGCGAAACCCCGCATATAACCGCCGACTATTTACCATTCATATCAGACATTACACCAGGACCGCGCTTGGTTATTACACAGTAGTTTTGGTGCCGGGAATAGCAATACTTGCCCTTTAATTTTACACAAAACATAATTTAACCTTACATAATGAAAAGTGCATATTTTCAGCCTTTTTTATATATTTGAATCCTCTTTTATTTTTGGGTGTTTTATAGCTGATCAATTTAAGGCAGATAACGGCTCCGCGTCAATGTGCCGTATTTTCCTGTAAAACTAGACTTAGAGCCTAGGCCACTTTGGAGGATATAATCCTCCGAAACTGCCTCCACACCGACAGCCCTCACATCCCTGGAGCTGCTGGGCCATCGATCCGCTGATATTGCCTGGTTTGTCATGATATATTGTTATGCTAGTTATGGCTATAACGCAGTGGCGCTGGAGTAAAGTAGAACCGAAGCTCCTGCGTCTAATCCGAGCTCTACGGTGTTTCAGCTCCGTGCGTAAAAACCCCGAGAGGTCGCTGCCTAACAGCCGGGAGCAGAGCGCTGTCACCCCGCACAACGACCCCCTCCGACGGCTCTGGCTCTATCACAAACCCGGCTGTTGAGTAACTAGCTTGTGATTTGAATTTAAAAAATAAATACGAGGAGGCTTTCCGCGGAACCTTTTTCCGAATTCTGCAGGATGTCTTCCGAATGTGAGTCCAAACTTTAAGAACTTACCTTCCTTCGCATTCTGTGCTTGTCCGCCGTCTACACAGCAGCATAAATGAAGGCAAAATGTAATCCACAGACACGGGATGGAGCTGGAAAGCATGGTGCAGCCGCGGATATCGGTGTAGACCGCAACTCTCTGTGCCACCGTCTCGCGTGCTTCCCATTGACGACACTAAACCGGCTCGATACAACAATCCGCTGGTCCCACTCAAATAGCGTCTGCTGCCGCGGGGCGGGGCCTGTGGCTCCACTGCTATCAGTCAGGAGGACAGGCGGAGGGGTTGGCCAATCACAGCGCATATAAGGAAACGTCATGTATCCTGCGGGCCAATAGGCGCGCGGAGGGAGATGGGTTTCGGGGAATGCGCGGCGGAGGAAATATTGTCACAACTCGGTTCAGATATTTTTGGTTTTCTACAGGAAAAGGGCAAGGGATGCTCTGGCACAGTTGGACACACACAAACACACACACACACACACACACACACACACACACACACACACACACACACACACACACACACACACACACACACACACACTCACCACAAAAGCTTAATCCTCAGAACTGTTACACGGTGTAGCTCCTCTGAAAAACAGCAGCTTCAGTCTTAATGTTTCAGAGTGTTTCATTTTCCTGTTGTGTCACCTTTCTGTGAGACTATATTACACAAAAACACTTTCCCACTCATCACACACATTATTAACCTTTTCTGTTGTACATGGAGCATAACACAGTTACAGAAGATAATAGGAAGAAAAACAACCAAAAACCGTTTAAAAAAACTTATACGTTAAGATATAGAAAATGAGTTACATAAAAGTAGTGGTGGAAAGTAAATATAGTTTACTTAAATATTGAAGTACAACAGCAGAGTAGACAGCGGGCACCGAAGGCCTAACCAGGAACATAGCTTTTAGATTATGAGATTGTTAAACTATACACTACAGCTAAATACAGTCACATACAAATCATCTCACAGTTTAGATGCAACCACTCTTAACCCAGTACTTTGACACCACTTCAAACAAACAAAGGGACAGACTTGAAAAACTTGAAATTGGATACGTATAAGTACCAATGCTCATGTTCATTTTGTTGGACCTTCCTCAGATTCTTACTTGAGCAATATAAGATAATTTTACCATTACAAATATGACCCAAGAAGACTTTTTATAACACCTTTTTTTGTATACCTTGTACTCTATAAATGTAAAATGCATCATGACAGAGTCAATCTGAATCATAGTCAGGAAATGAAAGCAAGACCTATGTAAGAAGTGCCTCAGGTATAATTGACAGTACTTAGTTTCATGCACTGGGATTTTCTACAGGCTGTTTGTGACAAGGACTAAATGGCTGACACATGAATACAAATATCAATTTTATAAAATGTGTGTCTGTGTTTAGTCAGCCCTGAAAATTCAATTCCATTCATCTAATTTACAGTATAGAAAGAATTAAATAATAGGTATATATTTAATGCCACTTTATATGTTTTTAAAAGGGAAATCATTACATTTTACTCCACTACATTTATTAAATAACTTTAGCTAATTTTAGCAAAATATATCCCTAAACATGTTTGGACTAACTCTTTAAGTCACAAAAGAGTCAAATTATTTAAATATTTTACAAAAATTACTGTATATCAGAATTTTGTTTGTCTAAAACAGAATGGTCACATGTATAAATATGATTATATACACACTTAAAGGCAATTTCTGCACAACAATTAATAAATATATTTTGATGCTAATACTTTTGTAATTTTACTTAAAGGTGGGGTAGGTAATTTATTTCAGATACACTTTTTATCACATTTGATGGATGCTCACCCGATAGCAATGAATATCTTAAGTGCTTTGTCAAAAAATCCATAAAAAAATGTCATCTGTGGAAGCCGCAGTACTGTAAAAAGCACGACCAATCATCTGAGCCGGCCCGGCTAAAATAACTGGATGGCCTAACTGCCTGTCAGCCTTCCATCTGTGCACAAATGTATGTCGTGCCCTCATTTGTCATGTGCACGTTCGTGTGTGTTGGAGGAGGGGCTCTGTAAGGAAGTGGCAGATTTTCTCCGGTTGTGTATTTTCAAATTCTAGCACACTCGAGCTGGTTCCTCCAAAATGACCTACCCCACCTTTAAGGTAAGATTTTAAATGCAGGATTTTTACAATAATATATTGGCACTTTTATTGAAGTAAAGCATCTGATTACTCCTCCCCCTCTGTCTGTAAAGTTAGAGAACATGTTGATGTGGAGACAGTGTGGTGTGTAGTGGGTCATCTAGATGAGAGTGGACCTGATCCATTATCGCGCTGCTGCCTCAGAGATTTCCCCCTGAAGAAACCATCAGGGGTCTCCAATAACAAACAAAATAAACACTTAAAAAAAATAACAAAGTTCATTTCCCACTTTCGTGGATGACTTGAATTGGCACTTAAAAATTAAAGCATAGAGCGAGCTCATTATCTCTCTACATACAGCGTTTGTTGCAGGTCACTAATTAATCTCGTTTACCTCCCAACTAGGAAACAGCTGTAATTATGGCCACAAATATTGATAAATAAACTGTGTACATAGAAATGGAGAGGAGCAGACGAGGACTCTCTTCAAGGTTTATTTACCTCAGCTTCCTGTTTTTGTTTGTTCGACGGGCCTGTTTATTATGCAAATTGAGCTAATCCTTTCCGTTCTTGATATTCAGCCGAGTCCTGCTTGAAAGTGTATAACTAATGATTGTTGAATTAATCTGGATTAATGTTACCTTTATTATAAAGTGTCTGTATGACACCATCAGCATCTGTCCGTGTGTGAGACAGGGTTGCAGATGGTACACACAAACTGCACATTATTCAATCAACAATATTTGAATATTATAATAAATAGTGTTCTTCCCTCTGTGGGATCAGCAGAGGAGTGTGTTAAAGTTATGGACAGGCTGAATTCCTTTCTTGAAAAGGTTGGAGTTACCATATTTGCAAATATTCATAACCTGATGCTATCCAAGTCTTTGAAAATGTTTGATAGGTGTTTCTTCATCCAACAAGAAATCTGCATGCATCTCCCCCCCAGCCTTCAACAGTGGGCTCCTTGCTTTGTGTAACATGTGCAGAGGTTGTGCGTGGCAAATCTGAAGTTGACACAAATTGAGAAGCAATTATGATATGCTGTATACTCATTAACTCGAATAAGACAGGACAAGGAAACAAATGTAACATCACAATCACTGAAGAGAAGAATGCTCAAGACCCTCTAACGTACCTTTGACCTGGGATTTAACTCAGTATTTAATTTGAAGGATTGACTGGTGCACAAAGGAGTGCTTCAGTCTACCTGGGACCTTGTGTCTCTGATGGTAACAATTCGTATTCACTGTTCGATCAAGCTTATTTTCGTAGTGGCCAAACAGCGGTACTACAACTTATGCCTCAGTCCATGACGTCATTGGGCCCAGAAATCATCTTTCCCTTTGACGTAGGGAAAGAGATGTCTGGAAATCAGCCTATCACTAGTTTTGAGGTAAAATAACTGTAGGAACACTTGAATAGACGTAATTCCAGTTATTAAGTTCTAAAAAAAAATATCCTTCAAACTGTGTCCAGCAGTGCTACAGTTCGTACATTCTACACAGCTGTTTAGGTTTTTAAACAACAATACCTGTATATTTATTTCAGTGTTTGTTCTTTGCTATCGCTATGAAATGCACAGTCTGTACTTGCACCTTGTGATATCTATTTTTAAGCTAAGGACAAGTTCAAGCACAAAATACCTACAATTTCTACTTTATTATTTTCTTAACATCCTAATAACTGCTCACTCATGCCAGATATCTCACTACATTGGAAGCTGTCTGTTTCTCGTCATTGTACCTAACCTAAACACGTTCACTGTTGCCATGGCATCCTCTAATTAAAGCTTTGCTGTAATCCTCAGAAAGTGACACTTAACATTAGAGGTATTATGTTCAGCACTGACAGTAATGAAGCTGCTGTCGTCTTGCCTTGTTGCTGCCAAGTTGATTTGCTAACAGAAAAAGTGTAAGTGTGTGGCAGGTCAAAGGTCAACGGGAGGGGGTCAGAGCTGTGAAACTTAGTGTGCAGCTCTGTGCTTGGGGAGCCTTTTCAAACTGATTCAGGTTCAATAGGAGCTCTGTCACACCGGGCAACAATGAGGAGGGAGCGGCTGAAGACGCAGCTGTCGCAACAAGCAGCGCTAACGCTAACGCTAATGTAGCTGCAGAATGCGGACGGACACTAATGGACTCCACCCTGGGTAAATATCACTGACAATGGACAGGACTTCACTTGTGGCCCCCACAGCACAAGTTCATTCTATCGCCTGTTTTAGGATGTAAGACTAGTAGTACACTGAAAAAAATGGACTTTAATTAAATGCATTACGTCCACATATTCCCCATAACGCTATTAGGTTAGCTGTATGTATGTATGTATGTATGTATGTGTGACGGAGCGGATCACAGAGTGACTGACTCCGCCACTGACAGCCGACACACACACACACCAAACATTTCCTGCTCTCTTCCATGAAATGAACCAGGCAATTTCTTATTTATTTTGCGTTTGTTAATTATGGGGAATTATTGTGTTGAGAGGTAGTTAACCTGTTTATGTTTGGGTCGGATTTTAATGTTGACAATGTGTTTTGGAGTTAAATTGTGTCACCTGTTGACGATAAGCCTGGTGGGAGGGGCTATAGGTTCAAACGGGACAGGGTTTGGCCCTGGAAGTGGTCACTCGGAAGAATGTTGCAGTGAAGGCAACAGCTGGGACGTGTTCAGGAAATTGTTGCAGAGAAGGCAACAGCCAGAGCATGTTTACTCTCAATGAGTGATGGACGGCCTGATTTTGACTTTTATTTTGTTTGTTTAAGTTGTGCTGTTTCGCTATTTTTTTTGCTGTAATTAAAGTTTTGGAGCTTAAAACAACCGACTGGGCCAGTGTTTCGAACGGACAAATAGAACCCCGTCACTGTGTGTGTGTGTGTGTGTGTGTGTGTGTGTGTGTGTGTGTGTGTGTGTGTGTGTTTATATAAAGTATGCAAGATTGTGTAGCTTTTTTCACCAGCACATACAACTAAAATGGTTTAAGAGACAGAATGATCGTACACTACAAACTCGAATCAACAATAAAAGCAAACAGAGAA